GATGCAGGTTTGTACTGTTCATTAGCCTGAAGATGAATGTTGCAAAACAGGATGCTGGAGTTCCCTGAAGAAGGGAGACCTTTCCAATCCTGTTCATCTATAGCAGTGTTGGGTACATTTATAAAGATAATCCCTGGCTCTGAACCCTGAGAAATTGCAGTGATTCACTAATCACTCCCTAATGCTGTGGAGGTCCCATGGTCACTAGCACAGTCATTTCAGTGGGTGGGGAATGGCTTTAGGATGGAGATGAGAAATAGAGGAATGATGTTTAGAAACCAGAAGGGAAAGAGCAGCCCTTTTCTCTGCAGCAGATACGTGCTCACACAGGCAAAGAGCTCCTTTGGGCAGAGCAGGCAGGATGCACTGCTGGCTCCTCACCCCGTGTGCCTGCACACCCTGCATACCCTGCACATCCTGCATATCCTGCACATCCTGCATATCCTGCACATCCTGCACATCCTGCACATCCTGCATATCCTGCACATCCTGCACACATCCTGCACATCCTGTACACTCCTGCACACTACTGCACACTCCTGCACATCCTGCACGCTTCTCTGGACTTCCATTCCAGCCAAGTGGGCTCGGGAGGACGGAATGGCCCAGGGAGGACGGGATGGCACAGGGAGGATGGGATGGCAGAGGGTGGATGGGATAGCACAGGGAGGATGGCACAGGGAGGAGGGGATGGCACAGGGAGGAGGGGATGGCACAGGGAGGGTGGGATGGCACAGGGAGGACGGGATGGCACAGGGAGAAGGGAATGGCACAGGGAGGAGGGGATGGCACAGGGAGGATGGCACAGGGAGGACGGGATGGCATGGCACAGGGAGGGTGGGATGGCACAGAGCTCTCCCCGTAGGCCGGGAAGCGTAGGCACTGGATCCTGTTTCGCTGTCACCTCTGCTTGCAGGAAGAGACCGTGGGAAGGGCAGTGACTCACTTGCTGATGAATAAGTGATTCTAGCATGTCTCCAGGAGTGGGACAGACTCATTTCCTCACCCCCGGTGTCTGCCGTGCCCACGGCCATGGAGCCCAGACACACGGGTACCAACCACGCTGCTGGAGTCGGAGCTGGCAGCCTTTGCACTCCTGGGTGAGAAGAGGATGGGAACCAGGGCTGGAGCAGAGGCTGAGAAACTCCTCTGCAAGGCTCTGCAAGACACCCGTAGGATGATGTTTAGACTCTTGCCTTGGGATAGAAGGGAGCTGCAAATGTCTTTGTGACACCGAGAGTGGTTAACTGATGCTCAAGTGGGAGGAGCCCCAGTCTCCCAGGAGGACATGGAGGTTCTCTCCCAGCTGCAGCTGGCAGCCTTTCCCAGACTGCTCACTTTGGGTGCTGGCAGGGCAGTGCTGGGTGCTGCAGTGGGTCAGGGCTGCTTGTGGCCCCTTCTGCCAGAAGGTCCTTGCTCAGGGCTGGCCCCAAGCCACAGCCACTGAACGTGATCACCTGCAGGCAGCCGCCCTGGAAGGATGCTGTCCCCCCATCCTTGGCACTTTAATGGGGATTTAGGGCAGGAGGGGGATCTAGTGGAATGAACAAACATAGTTTTGCTAAATATGTTTTCTAAGCAGTTTGTGGCTCACTCTTGCTGCAAGAGCAAAGGCTTGCTAAAGATGGCTTGTTTTACAAAGCATTTCACAAGTAGCCGAGCTGTTAATGTCACTGTTACCTGAGCAGATTTAATTGTGTTGCTTCTTGCTCTCAGCTTAGCGTGACATGCTGAGAATGAAAATCACATACCTTTTTGCCAGGAAAAAATGCCATGTTCTGGAGCAGCTTTGAGTGTTTCCTCCAGGGATACATTCAAATATTGTTCTGAGCAGTTTTTGCTGCCAAGGTTTGCTGTGGCATTTATTAAAAAATGCTTTCAATACCATTCACCTTTTATCACCACCATGAGTTTAGTTGAAATGATGTGTCCCTCTTTCCTACCACTATCACAGTATTATTGCACGTAGCATGCAGATGTGCTCTTGAATGCAAATGCAGCTTTTGGAATTAAATCCACACTTTTTGAGTGAGGGCATGCATAGCCTTAAGTCCCATTTTCTCCAAAGGGTGCACACTCTTATCTTCCCACCACTTCGCAGAGGAAGACTGAAAAGAGAAGCATTTCCCAGCTTTTTGTTAGTTCTAATGAATGTCTTCATACTCATCCTCTTTGTCCTTTCTCCTGGTGTACATGTGCATATTTTTTTTTTTAAGGGATAAAAGAAGGAAGTGATTGAAGGTGACTGAAGAAAGTGATCGTAGGTGCTGCTCTGAAAACCTTCACCACTTCAAGCCCTTCTAGTCAGACCTGTTCCATAGTCCCCACAGTCCCACAGGTTCACGATGTGACACACTTTCTCAAGGCCCTATAAGTCTGGGTAACTTCAAAGTGTTCACACTCAGATTTGATTTGCTTGATTTAGTACCATTTTGCAGGGAAAAAAAAAGTCAATATTCAGCTTATGGGCCAGCCCTGTGCACTGAGCTGGGGGGTTTGCTATGGAGAAGCTTCAGAAATCCCAAAAAGCAGCATGTAGACAGAAATGGTGACAAAGCCAAGGCTGCACTGACATCACCTGCCCAGCACTGCTGCTACAACACTTCTCTTGCTGTGATCAAAGCACTGGGGTTTCAAAGAGAAGTTCTTTTAGTCAGACAGTAGTTTTTGAATACATTATCTTTAAACCTCTGTAAAAATACTGGCAGCTGCTGTCTGGACTGTCCTCATCATAGTTAGAAAGATCACAACCCACGGTGATACTGATTTATAGAAATGGATCTCTTTACCTCATGACTGGGATTTCCAGCAATTTTGTGCATTATTGACTCTTTAAAGCCAGACAATTGTATTTTTTAATTTTAAAAGAATCAGTTTCTACAGATGGACAATTAGGGCACTATTCCCACCAAGGGATTCACTTACTAGCCCAGAGTGAGGTCGTTTGAGAAGGGTATTTAATGTCAAAAAGGTGTCCCAGCGTTTTTGCAGGTTAATACTGAACTGGTCTGGTGGAGCTGGTTATCACAGATCCAACCCATCAGTCCAGTCTCTCCTAGTCTGTCCATCAGCCACTTTGCTGACAGTGCATGGCACCAGCAGCTGCACCAAACACAGAGGTGAGAAAGCATCTGCTGAAGTTTGAGTTCAAATCCAGATTAAGGCCTCTGTCCTTTTGACACTTCTAGGTGGTGTTCTTGAGTGCCCCACCAACCTGTAACACTGGGGCTATTTCTTCCCCTCCCCTCCACAGCCCAGTGTGGTCATAGTCACAGACAGAAGAAAAATCTGAGGGCAGCTTAGAAAGGTGTTTTTGAGGTGTTCTTACATTTGGGCACCTTTCAGAAAAGAGGCTGTGGCTTCCCCTGCAGAGCAAACTGAGCCTGAAGGCAGCAGGACACTGATCTCACCTGGCTCAGCTGGGCACAGTCTGCAAACCTCTCCCTGCCACAGCAGTCAGCAATACCAGCAGCACCCCGGGGCACTTACCTGACCTGCTTAGAAAGACTTCCTGTGACAGAAACCACCTTTCAGGCAACCTGTCCCTGCACCTCTCTGCTCCCACTGTTTGTTAGAAAGGTTTTCCTACCATTACCCTGAATCATCTCAGCTGTAATTTAAGCCCCTTATCTCCCTGTGAACACGCAGAACAAATTACTTCCCTCCTCTTTGCAGCTGCTTCTTATGTATTTGAAAACTGCTCTCTCACCTTCTTCTCTTTAGGCTAATGCCAGTGTTCTGGTGTTTACCTTGGCTGTGCTGCTGACACCCAGGAGAATTGGTGATGCAGCAGCTACTCTGTTGAATAGGATCCATTAAATCTTGGTAGTGAACCAGGCAGTGAGGATTACCTGATAGAGGTGAAATCTTCTATCTACATCACCCAGAAAATTGCAGCAGCCCATTTTCCACAGAGCAGACCTTTTGGCTGTCCAGCAAATAAAACAGGCTTCAGAAAACATTTAGCAGTTTCTGAGTGGATTTTCAAGGATATTTTTCAGCCTGGGATGTAGAGCTCTGTTGGACATGTAAGATCAGACCCAGAAGAGCTTCAGACATGGTTACAAAATAAATCCTTAAGCAGGAGAAATCACTGTCCAGTAGTGCTGATCCTCAGATGGCCTTTCCTGAGTAAAAAGTGCTGCTGTTGAACACACAAAAACTCTTAAGATTTGTTGGAGAAATTGCAACTCAATTCTCCACATACTTTATGCTGTGTGCAGCTTCCCAGGAATGCAACAACAGTAAATCAGTAAAGGGCTCTGTGCTGCCATTTGGCAGGAGGTACCAGCCAGGGGGAAGCAGCCCAGCTTCTGCACCCTCTATCCAGCTTTAAATAACTGCACCACTAAAGGCCATGGCCCAGGAGAGCTCCCAGCCCCAGCACCATCCCATGGTCTGAGCATTCCTCCTGCCCAGGGTATCCTTGGGGGAGCAATCTTTGCTTTCACAGGATGGTTTTGTCTATGGAAGTGCTCAGTATCTGGGGTGGGTTCTGCCCAGCCCAGCTCAGGGGGCAGCAGGGTGCTGTGGGCACACACTGCCATTGTGCCCAGCTCCCCTCCAGGGTATCGCCCTGTGAGGGCTGAGTTACACCTGACCTCTGCTGATGTTCCTTTTGTCTCTGGTTTCATAGCAGTGGACAAAAAATGGTGGCTTTTTTCTCACATCCAAACAGCAGTAGGTGCTTAAACAGTAAAAAATGAACCCCCAGCTGCTGCTTCTGCTTCTCACATGAAAACTGCTGCATGCATATTTACTGTGCTGATTAAACAGATCTGCTGCTCTACAGTGGAACAGGGAATTAAAGCACTGTATTTTCAATTTTGTTACCAAATTACAATTCATAAATATTTGGGAAAATAAAGGCATTTACATATGCCATTAGTGAGAGTGCAGTTGCTGTATGGCTGCCACTTGCTATCAAAACCAAGGGTACCACGGCTTAAATAATGCTCAGTTCACAGCAGTATCCTAAAATGACAGCACGCTGAATCTACTTCTTCTGTCAAGATATATTTTTATTAAGGGTCAGTATAAACTTCAAAAAAAACCCAAACTTTAATCATTTTTGCCACTATATACCAAAAATAGCAAGAGTCTCTAAATTGAATGTATCTGAATTTTGAAATAGTCAGCTTCCAGGCACAGTGTAAATACCTGCCATTTATAAGGCCATCAGGTAATTTAAATTCATGAGAGTAGCTATAAACATGTACTGAAGTTCTCAGTGGGGAAATGCAGCCCTGTCTTACAGGACTAAATCCTGAAAAATATTGTATACAATATTTTGGCTCTTTCTTTCATGTCAACAGGTCGTTGTAAATGTAGATGTACGAAAAACATTTTACATTTAAAAGTTCTCTATACTTTCAGCTAAAAAAGTAAAACTTTCCATTAATTACTGCAGTAGTGTTTATTTCAGACTTGAAACTGATTTTCCCAATCAGCGTTATCAAGCCATCCTTAAGTGCACACTTTCTGTCTTGATGATAAATGGAGTACCCATGCAGTTATTTAACAGTGAGCTGCATTAGACAAGCAATATCTTTAAGAATTTTCTGGACAATGGAGGGAGGAGTGGAAGATTCCATATTATGCTCAATTTTCTGGTCTACCTCTGTCAACACAGATTTGCTTCTACTTTAAGGGATTTTAGGTTATTTTTTCATTTCTTAAACTTTGTTGTGATAGCATTACCTACTGTGTAGTAACAACCTAAATAATGTATATTTAAATCCAGAATTTTAGTTGTCTTCAGATGTGGTGAAAATACTACATGGTTGAGCCAGGAACACCTATTAGTGCAAGCATAATTTGGAGTATGATTTATCATGCAAAAATATGAATCTGTAGTTCCTACAGAAAATCAGCAGGAATCTTTTACTTTACAAGACATTTTGGATTATGAGAACACCACACACAATCACACAGTTCTTTCATTTTGACAGGGACAGTCTTCTACAATGTGCAAAATGAGGCACACACTCTGTTCCAGTCAGCAGTTCTGTTAGGCTGCTTAGCTGTCCCATTCTCCATTATTCTGATCGTTGTCCTCCTCTTCTTCAGAATCAGCAGACACTTTCTTAATTCTCTGCATGGCTGCCTTAATGCTTTTCTCTAGCTCATTAGGGGATCCTCTACTGACATCTCTCTCAGTATCTCGGTTCACTTTCCTCAGTTTAACCCCTTGCCTTATGGCAGAGAGGATGTTGTCCTTCACAGAGGCGTACGGATTTGGCTGCTCCACCTTGCGAAGGTGAACTTCACTGCGCTTCAGAGAAGCCAAAACTTCATCCATGGAACCTGCAACACAAAAATCTACTGTTACCAGAAGAAAGCATGAGACAACCACACCTAAGAGGTATGATGCCCTACCTAAGTGTTCAGGGGTCTTTCTTTAATCTGTGCTAGCACTAGGATGGTCTGTTCTGGCACAAGAATAATCTTTTCTGGCATAGACTCTTTCAAGCTCTGCAACAGCAGGCTCTGGAACTGTTTTTAAAAAGCAGCTACAGCTTTTATATCTTGAATTGAGAATCCAGTGTCTTCTCATCATTATATAAGGTTGTGCTCTAAGGAAGAAATTATACACAAAGGACAATGCTCTTTTTCATTACAACTTTATGGGCATTCAAAAAAATTGCACTGAACCAAAAAAATCTCTTGCATTCTGTGTTATAAACAATTCACCATCCCTTGCAGCTTGCCCAGAAGCCTGCTGAGACCATCAACTGCATTTTCGCTCAGCCAAGAGAAAAATGAAAGGATTTGAGTAGAAGGGCTTTAAAGTGCCCCACTGAAGTCACTGGAAGCCAGATCAGGCCCTGTGCAGGCAGTTCTTTTCTGCATGGACTTAGAAAACAATTCCTATTTTGCAACATGATTTAGATCTCAGGTGTATGTTCCTGAGCTTCAGACCATGAGGGACACCATACTGAGTTTCCACTAGACCTCCTGATACAGACTAATTTGTGTTTTACTCCTGCTGGACTCTCTGCTGCTTGCTCCAGACTGTCAGACAGGGAGGCTGTTCCCTGGACAGCAATAGGTCCAGACCATCTGTGCCTCACAGCCAGAAATATTTTTGCCATGCGCATTGCACACAAGGTTATGTGATTAACATCAACCACTTGAAATGTAACAGTGTGCTAAATCCTGTGGTACCTTCAGAGACTAAAAAGGATCAAGCAAAGATCCACCAGATTGCCTTAAAAAGCTTACAAGTAAGAGAGTCTTAAGTCTACTACCTAAATGGGCTGCCTGGTAAAAGGTTAGTCAGACAAACAAATTATAAAATAAGCCTCTCCTGGCTTTTCACATATAAAGACCTGAGTAGCCCACAACTAAAAACAACATGTTGGTGAAGCTGTTTCAGTAAATTCTTATGGTAAGTTAGCAATTACTGTTACAGCTACTGACGTTATGGTTTTCTTTAAGAAATAGGTGTAAACAACTAATCAGATCTTTCCAATAAGCAAAAAATACCTTTTCTTATCCAAAAAGACTAATGTTAGGCTGTGAATGGCAGTAAGTATTAGCTACCAGACGCGCCTTTCCACTAGTAATCAGACTAGTTTGGAGTACAACTCCTGTTGCTAATCAAGGCTTCTTCAGAGTATCTGTGGTAGTTATCCCATGGATATCCCACACTGAAGTCTGCACTGGATGCACAGTAGTTTGCCATGGTAACTCAAGTGTGCCTCAGCCCTTCAGCTGCTTGTACTTCCCCACAGCTTGGAAGAACTAAAAATGCTGAACTTCCCCTAGTATTTCTGCCTGTGGTTTGCCTCTGAACTGATAGAGGATACAAAGGCTGCTTGGATGTATTGTGAAGAGTTGAAAAGGAAAAGGAATGTACCATGTTTAAAGACATTCTTCATTCTAGCATAAGCTCCACTGTGAAAAACAACAAAAAAAAATTGCTGCTTTCCAGCTTAGATCAATCTCTCTGACATAGTCAAAATATCCGCTCGCCTCAGAGACAAAAATAAACCTGTTAGCAGAATGCAACCGGGGCAGCCTTGGGAGGCTGCTGAGCTCTATTCTCATTCAAATTACTCCTTCAATTGGCAAGTTCAGCCTTCAATTACACCTGCAAAGCAAAGGTGTAACAGAGCAGAATTTCTTCCCTAGGAATGTATGCCAAAGCTATTCATCTGCCTTTCAAATCCTGGTTGAATTCTGCATGAATTGCCTTAGGAAACCTTTGTTTAGAAACCAAGCAAATCATAAATGGACAAAAGCTGTGCACACCTTAGAAACATAACCAGCCCAATTACCAGCTCTGTAGTATGTACATCATGGACACTAAAATGTAGCCTTAGTACAGCTACAAATTTACCCACATTGGTCTTCTGATTGGAACACCAGGACACTGTGAAGTGTCTCAAAAAGGAAACACAAATCATTGTTACCCATTTAACATCCTGAGCTATGGTTAGTATTATTGTATGTAGATTCTTAGACTAAGCTTTCCAAGAGCCTCATTCTCCTGATCAAAACTACACATTATTTCTGTCCAGAAGCAGAGGAGGGAGGGAGATCACAAAAATACAGGAAATGCATTAAAAAGCACTGGTTGATGTGAGCCTACTTACCTATGCAATTATTTATAGACCTCCTGGATGAGTCATCCTGATTGTGCAGTGCAGGACTTTCTGAGGGGCTATCAGAGCTGAGGGGAAGTGGTTTATCCTCTGTTGCTGATGGTTTTAACTGGAGAGGTAGGCTGGGAGGTGGGGGTGGAGGAGGCAAGGGAGGAGGGGGTGGAGGAGGGGGCGGAGGAGGGGGTGGTGAGCATGGAGAGACCATCAATTCCTCACTGTGCTTTTGTTCCTCTGTGTCACCATCAGTAGCAAAAATCTGGACAGGGACGTCTGCTGGGGGTGTATTCTGACATGAAGCTTTTGGCTCCTCATCTTCTACAAGCAGAATACTCTGTGGCTGCTCGAGAGCTGTCCTTACTCTTGGTGAGGGTGCAGGGGACAGAACTTCTGGGGGTGTATTCTGACATGAAGCTTTTGGTTCCTCATCTTCTACAAGCAGAATACTCTGTGGCTGCTCGAGAGCTGTCCTTACTCTTGGTGAGGGTGCAGGGGACAGAACTGCTGGGGCTGCCCCTGTGCTCGATGCAGGTGGAGGGGACAGCACCACAGCCTGCTGAGGGATGCCTTGTGGCAACTTGGGACTGCGAGGCTGGGGATGAGATGTTTTCAGAACAACATGAGCTGGACACTTCTGAAAAAAAAAAAAAATCATAAGGCAGGAGGTCACATCTCCATTGGATTGGCCAAACCATAAACCCCAATGAGATAAAAAGCCACAGAGCACAGAACTGTCCCACTCACCCATTCAGGCAGAAAATTCAACCCTGAATAAATTTAAATGAACAATGAAGCATTTATTTCAAAGCCATTTCCTCACCTGTATTCTTTGCAACAGAATCCACACCTGGAAATTGTATCTTTAGGAGATTTAATCCCCTTTACTCATTATACAGAATCCTATTTCATGCTATCCAAATGGTTGCCTCTGATTGGGACCACACTCACATGTGAGCTATGGCTACTTCCTGACATGTTTTGACACCACTTAGGACTACTGCAGTTTACAGTACTTGCCTCCCTGAATACTTTCAGCCTCTCCAGCGTTTTCTGACGTTCCTGGCTTATCCAAGCTTTTTTCTTTTTCTCCTCCTCTTTTTGCTTGTCTCTCTTCTGCATTAAAACACAAGTAGGTGAGCGTCAGTGTGTGAAAACCAGCAGCTGCCAAACTCCCCAAGGCTGCTGTTTGGTACTCACTATCTGAATGCTGTGATGCTGCTGGAAGCGCTTTCTGCTCTCTTCTGCCTGTTGCAGTCTCTGCCGGTGGCTCGCTTCACACTGATCCTGGGAGAAGAGCAGAATTCATGCAACTCTCAGTCAGTTCACACTTCCTCTGCACCAGCTCTGCCATTAACTCCTGTGCACCAGCCACTAAATAGCAACCACGGCTGGGTGCTTGGCAGGGCCAAGAAAGATGGCTAAACTTAACTAAAGTCAGATGTGAGACCCTGATGATGAAGTCTGTGGGACTCCTTCACACCTAAAGCCAATGTTCTCCTAATCAGCTGTATTTTTATTCATGCTGCAGCAAAAATGTATCCAGACGTGACCCAACCCCTCTTTAGTTAAAAAAAAAAAGAAAGAAAAAAAAAAGAGAAGAAAGGGAGAGAAAAAGAAAAGAAGAAACAAGCTCATGCAAAGACATGAGGAAGAAGGCAAAAAGGGAGCTAGCAAAGCACTACAAAAATACAAAGCTACGTTTTCCCCCCTCCCTTATTTGCCATAGCTCCCAAGTACAAAAGGCAAGGAAGCAAAGGTATGGGAAGCACAACGATGCCTAGCAAGGGTACTTTCTGTTAGTAACAATTGCAGAGAAGCCACAGGTTTCAGTGTTTTCTCTGGGAGTCGCTTTTTGGCTCTGTACAGAGGGGGATTATCCACAAGGCTGGACAAGCATTTGCAAATCATGTGGCATTTGGCTTCAGTGTTATACAACCAATAGACAGCAATTAAAGAAAACAGAAGCAAAAGAAGTGTCTGCCAAGGAAGCAGTTGCAAGCAAGAGACAATGGCTCACAACACATTTCCAATGTAATTCCCAGTTTGTCCAGGCTACTGAGTGATAAAAGGTCACACAGACTTGATCCCAGACTCTGCTCTCTGCCCCAGCAGAACTGCAGGTGTAAGGTAAACTCTTACTGAGAAGGTTCATGAGAGTCAACTTTTGTCTCCCTAGTGTCCTGCTCTGAATGGGAAACAAAGGAAAAACTGCCCTGGGCACAGAACTGCGAGGCTGGAGAGAGAACTGCAGCTGTTAAAATTTCCCCTTCCTCCTGTTCAAAGATAGGGTAGCAGTGTGTGGGTTGTCTATCACTGCAGCTTCCTCCACGGGTCAGTTTCCTGCTGTACTGCAGCTGCTTTGAAAAAGGCTGCTAGGGTAAAGCTCCAGCTGGCCCCAGGGCTCTGGCAAGGTCTGAGACCCGCAGATAGGAGAACACTTGAGTCACCCAGGTAAGTTTGTGTTCTCCTTCCAAGCCAGAGACACACTTGCACCACACCACGGAGCGTAAAGCTGTTAAAATCACATTGCCCCTCTTTGTGCTTGCAGGCCTTGGCACTGAGTCATGAATCATCTTGTATGCACCACCCAAACTTCCCTAATTGTTTCCTGTCCATCCCTCATGAGTCAAGACATCAGCTGAAGATAATGCACATCTCCAGGACTGAATTTACTTTTTTGTTCCTGAGGTAGGCTCTCCTCGCACAGACAGTCCCACGCTTTGTCTCCAACTGCTTAGTCTTCTGCCTCAGCACCGTCATTGCTGACAAGTTAGCGTAATGTTGTCCCATGGTCTGTTCAATGACCTTGAGCTCCTCAGGATTTTCACATGTATCATAGTAAACAACTTCATCCTGTTTCTCTAAAAAGGCATTTGGCATTTTTTAAGAAACCAAAAATTGCCACAGTTATTTAAACATTTAAAGAGCTAATGACATTTTATAAGCCATTGAAGGCAGTGAGTTAGTTATGAGTAAGTGTAAAGCTCCAAAGCTGAGCTGGGACCTTCACAGTCATATGCAAACATGTCACGTTACTCACAGGGGTGCTTTGCAGGATCAAATTTATGCTGTTAGCATTTGTTATTTAGCTTCCTCTTTCAAATGTCTCCCTGTGTTTCAACTCCTACCTTCATGAACTGGAGTCTTCCTGGAAAATGGAAGGCTCTTCTGATCAACACTGGATGTCCTATTTTACTATTTACCATGCTTCAGTTATGTAACGAGTGGCAGCAATGTTTACCTCACAGTGTACGTGGTAACAGAGAATTCATAAGCACAAATAAGAACTCGACTGGTGCCCAACTTGATATAACTGTGTCACAAAGAGACAAACTGGAAGATAGTAGTATTCAGGTAAGATTCTAGCTATAACCACCTTTTTTTGCCACTATAGGATGCAGTTTGTAATTTCTACATGTTAGATTAGAATAGATGATGATGAATTACAGGACCTATTTCAGCAGGTTCACAATACCCAGTTTCTGTGAGTAGATCATGTAGATATTAGAGCAGTTAAACCCTGTCAATATAAATTACTCCATGCTAAACCAGGGCATGCACATATCACAGCTGCTAGCAAGATGAGCAACCAGTGTAGCTTTTTTTTTAAACTTGTGTTATCGAATTAGCGTCTAATTAATTAAAGTGTCTAATTAAAGACAAAATATCAGATGGTACCACAGCATTAATGTTTTCCATTAATGCTTTCTACTACCAAGACCTGAGCAATGATATCTATTTTTAATTGAAAACAGAGCAGGCTATGTCCCTTCTGTGTTCTGAATATGTGCTTAAATAATATTTTATTCTCACCTTTAATCTGTCTCTTTATAGTGTCCAGCTGTACAATAAGCAGCATCTCTTCATGTTTCAATACTTCAAGCTGTACATTATATAATTCCAGCTGTGTTTCATAATACTGTATTTCCAGCTCCTCCACTATACTTAAATTATCTTCTTGTTCACCAAGGTTCTCCATCTGTAACAGAAAATAAAAAGCATTAGTAACAAAATATGCACACATGAAACATGTCTGGATGCACAAATGCCTGTAAGGAGCCTGGTCTAACTAGCAGCTGCTTTGGTATGGAAAACAACAGAGCATTAGAAATGGCTTGGAGCAGAAACTCAGAGAACTCTATTAACCTAAAGTATAAATTTACCTTCATTTTAGCAGGAAAGACTTCATTATAATCTGTACAAATGAGACTGCTCCTGAAAACAATCATATATGGTACAGTACAATACTCTTGGAAAATAAATATCAGGTACTCCTAGAAGCAGTTAGATGGCATCAAAAATTAGTATTAAATAAGTATCTTAATTTTTCAGTGTCCTCTGAAAATAATATCTGTTCTCTATCTCCCTAAAATGAAACAATTTCAAAGATTATTATCATAAATGCTCAAATGATACCTGAACTGAGAAAGCATGCATATTAAGCTTCACTGAGTGTTCTCAAACATGCAGGAGCAATTAAAAAACTGCAGACATCCATTTTCTGCAACATAAAACTGTGCTAAAAACCTAAATTGTTTCATTGACAAAGACTTGAAAAGCCTACTCTCATGACCATTTTGGTAGGTTTTGATCAGCCGTTCAAAGAACAGTGACAGAAAAGGAGGCTTTGTAAGGTCTTACAAGTTTCTGAATGCCAGTTCTCTTCTGCTTCAGGCACAACTCTCTTGCCCTCAGATGCTGAAGGGTTTCTTTTGCCAACATATATTTCAGGTTTTCTAGTCGTGGCAAAGCTGATGCCCAGGTGGTTTTACCAAATCTTTCCTCATCTTGCTCCATCTGTTTGTGCATTGCTGTAGATTAAAACATGGTAGTAAAGCATGAGAAATGCAGTGTACTAATAACCCTAGTGTGTTTCTGAAGTATTAAAAATTCTAATCTTATTAAACTATTTCTGAAGCTTTAGAAATTACAAGATTACAAGGTTGGATTTGTGACCTTATACATGTAAGTGAAATACTTTATTGCACCATGGAAACACACCCTAACAGTTGCACAGCAATATACTCTGTTCACATGCTGAAATCCTTGAGGCTTGCACATCAGGCATTAAAAGTACTCATGGTTTCTGTGCAAAGGCTCACTTTAAGTCTCAGGCAAGTAAAATCTAAGTTGTAAACCCAACTGGTTAAAATATATAAATCTTAAGTGAATTAAGTATTTCTTTCTGAAGCTGGACATTCACCTGAACCTCATGTTCTGCAGAGATAAGAAGAGCTCTCTTAAGAGTTACTTAAGTTAGGTATTTACACAGCCTTTTGTGTAAGTCATTCTGATTACCTGCTAGAGCCTTTACAGTTTCCTTGAAGTAGTTCACTGTGATATCCTGAATAGAGCACACAGCACTCTCAGCTCGCTTAGTCCATTCATCAGCATCCTTCTGCAAAGCTGCTACTCTTCTAGGCCCCAAATTATCATACTGCAAAGATTTCTACAAGGACACAAAATTCTCAGTTACCACCTGGTTTCCACAGAGGTGCAGCCACACTATGTTACACTTGGAGACATTTCAAGAATGGTGGCAAACATGACCCCCTCACCTGTCACAAAGTGAATCACTCCTCATTCCTATTTCTCATTCTCTCGGCTAATTCAGAACCTTTGTTCTCCAATCCTGACCTCACATTTGAATTAATTCACTTCTTAAAATATTTTTAAAACTAGCATCTTTAAAATTACATCCAACACAAGTGTTTTTTATTGTTACTAAAAGTAACTCTTCTACGTGCAATGTTCTTTTCTATTTTTCCCCATGTGTTGACAGCACATTGTACCAGCAGGTTCTCCAGTTTGGCAGTTCTTTCACACAGGAACAGGGATACAGAAAAGAAACATTAGAGAATGTTTTAAGTCCACAAAGGAGACACGGGTACAAGCCCAGCATTAAAATACATTTTCAGAATAATTATATTTCAAATAAGCTCAAATATACCTTAAAGGTTTTTTTTTTTAATACAAACTTTGTTTCATTCTTTCCAATTTCCACTTTATTTTTCAGAACAGTACATTGAACATTTTATTGTCACAGGTTTAGACCTTCAGTATCCAAGCACCTTAATCTAAACTTGAATGTTCTCAAAAAGAGCAGAACAATTTTAACAGCTCACTTTCATTTTAACACGCTATATAAGGAAAATCAACATAGTAAATGGCTGTCAATCCCAGGGGTATCATAACTTTCAGAATGTGCTTCCAGTTTAAGATGCACATAAAACAAAGTGAACACAGTGACAACGGGTATGTTTTCATCTGCAGTTCTAGCAGGTTGTAGCAGTAATAGAAAACTCCTTTGAGTGGGAAGGTCTCCCCCACAACTGAGTTAATCTGGTGCATCAGCATTCCTGGGGATGACATTCTCAATGTAAAAAACTAATCCCATGGGAGGTGACACAACAAAGGCTACTTATATTGCAGTAAATTCAGCCTCCCAGAGAGTAAACCCCAGGGAGGGGGAGCTCGGGGATATTCTCCTTTTAAGTGGGACACTGGTGGGAAGTCAGCTGTAGTTCTAGTGGAGCCATTATCATGGACTCCAAGATCCTCTGAGAATGGCTCTGCCCTAACTCTGAATTTGTCAGTCATGTCTGCTGGTTTGGCAGAGGAAGAAAAGCAGGTACATCCAGAAGTAGGGAATGTTATGTGATTTGAGCCTGAACTGCTCTGAGAGCAGCTGATGCCCCACTGTGTGGCTTGGCCCTTTACTCTGTAAAGACAGACTTACCAGGATTTCCAGTTTGTACAGTGTCGCCAGCTCTCGCATGTCTCTGAAGGGCTGCAGTAAATACTGGTAGAATTGTGTTGCCATGGTGACCAAATCCTGATAAGCTTCATCTTCTTCTTCATAAACCTTCATCAAAGCCACCATTGTGTCAGCACTTTTATGCTGCTGTAGAACCTAGTGGGATAAAAGGTAAATCAGACACAGCTGCTTTGCATTCCTGTGTGCTGGATGCTGCCAGGCTCCGGCAGGAAGGACCTGTCCTTCCACAGCTAAGACTTCCTACTGCACAGGAGGCCAGTTCCAGGCATTCTGCAGCCACCCCAGATGAAAATACCTCCAACACCACACTGTTAAAGGCACTAATTGCTGCACATTCCATCAGGAGCCTGCTAGGAGCATCCTGCCTAGGGCACCCACCAGAAACATTCTAATAACTGTGTGCAGATGACTTGGCTGCTGCTTTTTATAAACATAAATGGGAATCTTGGGCAGTCTGTACTGGAAGGACAAGCAAGGTATTCTTAAACTAGCAGTTGCATTGCTTCCACAATTACTAAATGCCTGCTAATGAGTTTTTTGATCCAGAATTTCTGACTTCAGGCACAGAAAAAAAACTAATTGGCATTTACTTCTGATACACCTTGCAGTTAAATTCCTTTAACATTTGTATGATTTATAATAGTTTATTCTACCTCAGTTCTAGTGGTATTGCACTTTGTAAGTCATAATTCTTCCATGGAATTACTGCCTTTTGATACACTAGGCTCTATTTATTTCCTTCTATGACAAAATAAAAAGTTGGGGATTTCCCCTCAATTGCATTTGTTTACTGGTACCAATCAAAGCTTCAATGGTTTTTCTTTTGACACCAGCTGGCAGAGACCATGGCATGCTCTACATGCCAGGATAGAGTGAGCTGGCTGAGAGAACACAGCTAAGTTCCACTGAGAAACAGACCTTCCTGGAAGGACAGCGTGTGCTTTGCAGCTCCATGAAGAGGGAAGGGGATGGGAGGGGTGTGTGTGCTACCCGTAGTGAGAAAAAGTATTAAAAAAAGCTTGGGTTGTGCTGCATCTGAAAACTGAACCATCACCTTTGTTCTTGCCTTGAGTCAGGGTAACACAGCAGCGTTCCCATGTATGGAGGAACTTCCCCAGGGGAAATCCCTGGAAGTCAGCTCAAGGGCATTTCCCACCCACCCTGTCTGCAGGCAAGATGAGAACAAGAGAATCTGAACTGCAACAATTCTGATAATCCCACAACTGTGACAGCCTCCTGGGCCTCCCCTGGAGCTTGTGGTAGCTCAGTGCAGCAACTTCAGCCTGCTTTTGCCCCAGTATGGAAGCCAAATACAAATGCAAGAGCTGACTTTTTGATTCATATTCTGAAAGTAAGAAGGGAGGGTCATGCTGCTCCTGGAGGATGCTTAGAGTGAGTAGACGGGAAGTATTAGTGAAGGACATTAATGAATAAAGGGAAAAAGGATGCTCTGGTAATTCAGATTGGTTTAATGTCTATTTCTTGAATATTGCATAAAGTGGTCTAGGCTACAGTATAAGGAATATATGCCCCTTTAGGCCTGCAAATACAACAGCACTCTACAGCATGTTTAGTCATATATAAAACATAGCTGGAAATCAGAGTAACTATCGGTAGCACCAAGCTGTACTTCACCACCAAGCCCCAAAGTGCCACGGAGCTGAACAGGCTTGTGCTGTTTCCAGAAGAATGTGGTGGCTGGAATGTATTTCTAACTGGGCTGTGAACTGTTAGTCAGTGACAGACACTGACTTTTGTATACAACAAGGTACATGTTCATGTAAACTAAAGCTGTGTTTTTAAAAACAGTGTCTTTCTGAAGGAGTAGTGTTGTTTCATCTGTTAAATACTGCAATAGGAAAGAGAAGACTGATGTTAACTGTCATAACTTTCCTCCAAACCATGACCACTTTCATAAAATATCCTTCAGGTTACTTTGCCAGAAAATAAGACTCTAAACAGGTACTGCAAGAAACAGCAGCAACACTTTGGTGAGCCTGAAGTATCTGTAATTCATCAACACTCTGATGTCCTAACTGCAACTCTATTATTACACACCACCCTTTGAATTCTTGCTTACAAGAAGAGGAAAAGATCCAGGAACACATCTATAGCAAGAAGAAACCTAAGGCACCAAAGGAATAAAGTGCTAACGTCATCATTACTTCAATTATTAGGACAGAATTTGATACTTAACAAAAACCCACACACACATTTTCTTTGAATACGAACCACTTATTAGTATAGGAACAAGACTCAGTTTGGTCTTAAAAAAAGACTGAAAATCCCCCAGTTACAAGCAGTACTGCAGACATGTAGCATGAGACCTTCACAGGGAGGTTAGAAAATTAGCACATGATTGTATTCTCCTCTTCGGTTACTGTTCCACCCATTGCCCAACACTGTTGGATGTTTTTAGCAATGTGTTTTTGTAGGAGTGTCTGCAGCTTAAGTAAGAGTCCCAATGCCTTACAGTGACCGCCCACGTGGACGTGGCTTATTCCGCACTTTAATAAAGGTGCACTTCCAACACTTAGTATTTCAGAAAGTGACACTGTCGCTTTCAGGCAATAAAAAGGTGTTTGTGTAAGCACAAATCTGGACACTGGACAACACCATGAGCAAGCTGGTATGAGTGACTTGGCCACCCTTGCTCACGTGAGTCTGGCGAGTCTGCCTTGATCGATGAAGTCGCGAAGCAGCAGGGGCTGCCACGCTTATCATGCAACTCCCAGGCGAGCACGGCGCGCCAGGCCGGAGCTCAGACAGGTGCAGCCATGAGCTGAGCCGCAGCACGGAACACTGAAGGCAGTCCCGCACCGAGGGGCCCGTTCCCCGCCCGCAGGGCCGGCCCGGCAGCCCCCGGCCCCGCGCCCCTCCCGCGCCCGGCCCCGGGGCCCGTACCCGCCGCAGCGCCTCCTTGGCCCGGGCCAGGTGGCCGCGCAGGGCCTTCCCGCGGAGCTCGTGGAGGCTCTCGAAGTACTCGTCGTCGCAGCAGCGGTCGGCGGCGAAGAGCGCGTCCAGCACCACGCGGCCGCCGCAGAGCTCCAGGGCCCAGCCCAGGTACAGCTCCAGCGCCCGGCACAGCTCCTGCAGCTCGGCCTCCCCCGGCGCGGCGCCGCCGGGGAACAGCACGGCCCAGAGCCCGCCGGAGGCCGCGCCGGGCAGCGCGGGCGGCAGCTCGGGGAAGGCGGGCTCCAGGCGCGGGCACACGGCCGACAGCTGCCGGTGGACGCCGCGCAGGGCCGGCGCCGAGAAGAGCCCGGCCCAGCTCTGCGGGGCCTGCTCCGCCGCCTCCGCCCGCCCGTGGCAGGTCACCGCGAACGCGCCCTCCGCGCCGTTCCACCCCACGAGGAAGCGGAGCCGCGGCGGCGGCTGCGGCTCAGCGAAGGCGGTGTCGCGCACGGCCACCCACCCCTCCAGGCTGTCGGGCTGCGGCTCCATCGCCGCGGCGGCGGCGCCGCGGGCCCGGAGCGAAACAGAAACCGAGCGGCGGGACGGGCGGGGCCGCGCGTCACCGGCAGCGCCCGCGCCCATTGGCGGGAGCGGCGGGGGGCGGGGCCGCGCGTCACCGGCAGCGCCCGCGCCCATTGGCGGGAGCGGCGGGGGGCGGGCCCTCGGGGGCGGGGCCATGGGGCGGGGGCGGGGCTAGGGCGGCCCTCACGGCGGGTGTGGAAATAAACAGCGCCGCGGTGAAAGAGCGAGAGGCGGTACCGGGAAAGGCCGTTTTTCACCGGGGCATGGCATGGCATGGCATGGCATGGCATGGCATGGCATGGCACGGCATGGCATGGCATGGCATGGCATGGCATGGCACGGCACGGCATGGCACGGCATGGCATGGCATGGCACGGCATGGCATGGCATGGCATGGCACGGCATGGCACGGGTGCAGTTGGGTTGGGAGGCGACCCCCAAGATCGCGTTCCCACCCCTCTGCCATGGGCACGGACTCTTTCCACCAGGCCAGGTTGCTCAGAGCTCCATCCAGCCTGGCCGTGAGCACCCTCAGGGATGTGACATCCACACCTTCCCTGGGCAACTAGTGCCAGGGTCTCACCACCCTCTCCGTAAAGAATTTCTTCCCAATATGTAACCTAAAACGACTCTCAATTTGAGCGCGTTCCCCCTTGTCCTGTCAGTAGATGCTCTTGTGAATAATCTCGCTGCATCTTTCCTGTGTGCTTCCTTCAGGTACTGGAAGGAGAAAGCTTGGTGAAATAAGCTGCTGTTCCTGAGATGGGAGCAGGGGACACACAGCCCCATATTTGAGCTGCTGCCTGAGGGGCAGTTCCCTCCTGGCCACCGTTCCTGTGTCCTCGCCAAAGTCCACAGCTTTCTCCAGTGCCAGGCAAGCCCCACGCTCCTTCCCCACGCTGCCTTGAGACAGAACTGAGCCCTGGGGCCCTGTGCCCACAAACAGCCAGGGGTGCTCGTCCTGACCCCCGGCTCAGCCCCGAGGTCACCAAGCTTTGTATAAATGGCACCCAAATGCTGCCTCACAGCACCGAGGGGAGCAAAGAGCAGCAGGGTGATAGAACAAGAGCAGTGTCACTGCTCTCTTATTCAGGCCCTGTGTCCAGGGCAGAATGCAATTCACTATCCACCAAATGTTACATTCTTTGGCAGCAAAGTACTGCTATTTTTTTGAGAAATTAAGGCCTATAAAATAGCATAGCTTAACACAAAAAGCAAAATTAAGCTCTCATTTGAAAAATTAATCAAATCTGTCAGACAGCATAAATGTTAACGTTTCAGCAAGGGCTGCGTCACTTGTGTGAAAACACTTCTGCTCTAATCTCACAGATGATAGAAGCACTGTTAGCAGTAATGAGATTGTGCCTACATGGGCAATTAACTTGTGATTCCTCACCAAACAGCAAACAATTGCACTGCTAGAAAAGTGAGGAAATGACACGAAGATAATTGGAAAAGGAGGAAAAAGAAGAGCTGTGTCAAGATCTAATAGACATTGTCCCTTGTGGCATCCCCTGAGCTCAAGCCATATATAATACAATATTCTCAAATCTGCTTAAAAATCTGCTGCCAGCAGGGCTGGCTCAGTAGCATGTTCACAAGCAGCAGTCTGTGTGTGCTGGGGAGCTGTGTGTTTGAGCAGATTCACAAAGCTCAAGTGCTACAGCAGTCACAATAATCAGTGGTAATACACAGCCTGTTTTTTATCAGGTAGACCCCTACTGAGCACAGACTGCAGGGATATGTTCCTGTGAAAACCTCCCTAGTGGGGCCATTGTTCACTTTCTCCACCATAATTAGCTTTCCAGATCTCTGGCATACACACACAGGGTGATGATGTATGGTTAAGTATAATAAGTATATGCCACAGTATGATTTTTTGTTTTCTAAATTCTAAATTTTCTTTTCTTTTTTCCCTAATATATGATCATGATTCCAACTCAGCCCCATAGAAAAGGTCCTGCTAATTTGAGAGACAGGACTTTACCAGTAAGTGTTTGCAAAGAACAGAACTGGTACTTCCATTAAGTTGTGCAACTCTGTAAACACATGTCCAGCCACGTGAGTTGTTTGCACGTTTTGTGTATCCCACACAGGACACTCTGCCTAACACCCCAGCCTTGGAAATCACACTCAGAGTCAATGAGTGCACTCTGCAGCATTTATTAATACCACCTCCAAAAGTGAGAGGGTACCCTGGCTTTAGTGAGGGCTCTCTGTAACCCTTCAAAGTACTTCAGAGCCTGTTCTCAGTGTATGACATTCGTCCTGGTGACACTCAAGCAGCACACTGCTGAAGGACAGCTGGGGAACATCTATATTTGTGCCATTGCTCATTGCTGGCATGCTCCTATCTGAGCAAAGAGGCAGGGTAAGGTTACGGCAATAAGTCTTCCAACTGCAGTTATAGGAAAGTGGCAAGGAATTGCTTTCGTGTGAATTAATTTTTACTAGGGGGAATAGAAGTTAACTTTGATGCCATCTGAGCTATCAGAAGAATTTATGACGTCTTAAGATAGAAGGCAAGTTTTTAGGTAGTAACCTTCTTTGTTGTGTATTTACGATAACTGACGGTCACGGATCTAAACGTGCTTCGTGTAATTTTATCTGTGCCTGCAAAGCAAGCAAACACTGAGCAATCATCTGAAAATCTTATTTAGGCAGCAGGATTGCAGACAAGCTTAATTATGCTAATTTTAATTCATTTCATTTTGGTAGGAAAAATAAATGTTAATTCACTTTTCTAATTAGTAGTAGCTTCTAAAGCAAGCCTTATTGTTTTAATTATGGGGAAAAAAGTCTTTGCGGGAGCCAGACAACATTTTCTGGTATGTGTTAAGACCTTTTCTCTGTTTAAAATGTTAGAATTTGCATGATTTATTTCATTGCCTTTAGCATAAATAGTATTTCTGCCTAACTTCAGTGTTTTATGTGCATAGTAGGATATTGCTAACTGTAGAATCCACACCCATGTCTGCAGTGCCAGAAGACAAACGATGAACTTCTGTGTGGGTTTTCTTACAGATCTGTAGAGCTGGACACAGCCAGGGATATAAAACCAGAGAGTGCAAAATGTCTCAGTATTTTTCACTGGTTTGGGAAGTTGCTTTCTACAAAGTTACTGTGTTGACTCTGTTAGCTAAGCTTTTCTCAGGAAAATTAGTAAAATATTGATGAAATAAATTTGAGGTGATAGCAACTCTTCAAAACTAAAAAGACCATAAATAGTAGTTTGAAAGCAATCTTATATGAAAGCTTATCCAGAAGCTCTGGTAACATTGATGTCTGACCAATCTTTTGGGCTTTTTTCTTCTGTGAGAAAGTGATTTTAAAGCTTTCATATGTTTCACTTACCTAGGACTAGATATAACTACAGATTGATATTCCGCTGAAATCTTTCCATGAAATGTTTTGCTTGTGGTACTAAACTGCTGATAAAATTGATCTGAGTAGTTTTGTAGCTATGATTCCATTCATGTTGGTGAGCAGTGAAGGGCTGTGGGAACATTTCAGCTCAGAGAGAGTTCTGACTCTGTACTGGCATTATTTCACTGCTTTAATACAGGCTGATTTGAAAGAGTGGGCTTGGGAATCAGCATTAAAATTGCCTTTGCACTTTTAATGTTATCCCACATGCATCTGCTTTATCATACAGCTTTGCATGCCACCTGCACATGCTCTTTTCACACCTCCCTCCTTGCACAGAATAGAAAAAACGTGCAAGGTTTGGGTCAGAGCAGGCATCTCTCAGTCCAGGTCAATGGCCTGCCTTGTTCCCTAGTTACTGGATGCTTTATATGTTAAAATGCATATTTTCCACAGCACATGAGAAACCCCAAAGAGCAGTATGTTTCCTCTGTGATATTTTTTAGAAAGGACCCAAGACCTCGAATCAAGTTTCAGTATTAAGAATGGCAACTTGAAAAATACAGAGCAGGACTTTCCAGGGCATTTACTTGTGTGTTCTGTGGCATCAGTGGTCACAACAGAGGACATTCTACATTATGCCTGACTGACAGTTCAGAAAATATGCTTGACAGCAGCCGAGGAGTGAGCAGGCTTCAAACTGGGCCATTTCCAATTGCTCAGAACAGCACTAACTGTGCCTGGAGCACAGTCACAGTGTTTATCTGAGGACAGGACTGCTCCACAGTTTGGAAATCAGGGATCATGGTCACAGATGAGGTACTCAGAAAAGAGGATGCACACCAGAGACAGCTCTCTGCTGTGCTTTGCACTGGGGTGAGAAGAAAACAAGCTTCCTGTAGCTTCCCTTCAGAAACTTCACTTAGGGAGTGAAGCTACTGACTTTTGTCTTTCCAAAAGATTTCTGCTTCAGGACCTGAGCAGTCCTCAGCCAAATCTATCCTATCCATATACTTTTAAGCAAGAAAAACTCAATCTTGGTATCTAAGTATGTAGCTAAAGACCTTTCTTATCTTTTACAAGCTTGAGACTCATCATCTCAAAAGCCTCCCTGAGGATACCAATGTCCTCCAGATCTGGCAGCACGAGAGACTATGAGACTAACAGCCAGTCACAACATCATTCAGCTTCCCCCCCAGTCCCAGAGGCCAGTGATGCTGAGACTGAAGGTCTGATCTTTTATCACATGGATCTTTATGGATCAAAGGAGAGGTTTGATATTTTTCCTGAAGAGCTCTCTGGTCGAGGAGACAGATCTCTGGGAGATACGAGAAGGGAATCTGCATTGAGTAGTGAAAAAGTTCACCACCCACAAGAAGTTGGCTATGACTTGGAAAAGGAGGTTGCAGAGTTGGCTAAGATGTATGGACTTGATGAGGACAGAGAAAAAGAGCTTGAGCTTCTTGGAGGACATCTGGAGAAGGTGGAGAGCAGATGGCCACCAGCTCGCACAGGAAAAGCAGGATTACAAGACTCCATATATAACATATCAAAAAGCAGCTCTTCAATGAAAGATCCAAGTCAAAGCACAAAGCAACAAG